ATTTTTCATGCTATTTTAGTAAGTATATTTTATTAAGTATATATTGTTAACGAAAAAGAATAAAATACATATATGTAGTGCTCTAACTTCTCCAGTATCTGAAAAATCAGAATTTTATATTCGGTAATGATAATTTGGCAATTCGTGTGGCCATAGCCATATCGAACATAAAATTCTGATTTTTAAGATACTGGAAAGGTTAGGGCATTACATATATACACATATTATATGCATTCAGCTAGAACAACACGAATCATATGTGTCTAATGGAACACGCTTTTTGTGTGTTATACCTACACGTTCATTGCAATCTACACACTTCTTTGTGTGTTGCACATCTACACACCTACAGACGTGTGAAAAGTGACTACAACGATTACATACGTAAAATGTGTTAAAGTAACACACTTGTTTTTGCAGTGTGGGCAGTTCTCGACGAGCTCTAACGAAAAGTATCAGGTGAAAAAGCCATTGGGTCAATGGTTTTCGAGATATTGGAACATTTGAACTCTATCATTGAAAATTTTCTAAGTCCGACGTCGAAAATTTTTTGAGAGTACTCAGTAGTTCTGGTCGGCGTTCTGGGCAGTTCTCGACGAGCCCTGGCGAAAAGTATTAGGTGAAAATACGATTGGATGGCTACATAAAGAGATATGTGCTTTTGCAGCCAATTTTTCAAATTTTGTTTTAAGTACGTATCTCTTTTATTTTTAAGTTTGTGTTGATTTTAATCGCTTAGAACTCTTCGAAATAGACAGAATGAAAATTAACATGTGACAGAACTATTGTATAAAAAAATTTTTTCAAAATTTTATTTTTTTTTATATAAATTTTGTTGTATGTCAAAATTGTGTTTTATGTATTAGGAACTCTAGGTATTCACAAAATAAAGCTATTAAGCTGCTCAGAATTATTCGAGCTCGAATTTCGATAAAAAGTTGCACCCCATTTGAGTACTATAGTTGCCATTGAGTACTATAGTTGGTTGGGGTGCTAACTTCACATACCCAAATAGTTGTAACAACTAAAATAGTTAAAATAAAATAATTGTAACAACTAAAATAGTTGTGCATATAAAATAGTTGTAACAACTTCAGATTTGTATATTCATTTATTTTGCATGTTTCATATGTTTCAAATATGTTATTTATAATAATATGTCATTTATAATTATATACTATTATATAATTACTTAAAGATAAAAAAATAAATATATATAAGAATTATGGCTCCATTAAAAAAATTTGCTTTAATTTGGTGGCTACAAAGTGAGGAAAAAGACATAGTAAAATTATAAGTTATACCAAAAAAAAGCAGACGTGTAGGCGAAATAATAAAATTAACGTGGAAAGATTATAAAACCCAACAAGAAACAAAGGCTATATATGGCGAAAATTCTTGCTATAAACGGTAAGTTATTATGATGTTAGTACTAAAAATAATATTTATATAATCATTTAAGTTCATAGCAAAATTCGAAATTCAAACAGTAATAACTTGGTTAAAAATAAATAAAATTTAAATTTCAAAACTTAGTTTATATA